ATATATGGTATCCCGTATTCTCTCTTTACTTCAGTTTATAAACAATAAATAAATAAAATAAAAAAATAGTAAATTATCTTTTTGAAAAAATGCAAACGCCATGGTTTTTACTGCATCACTTCTATTATTACAAAAAAATATTCACACACATTAAGTGATTAAACGCATCTGTTTATTCTGTATTACCGATACATAAAATATAAAACAAAACAAAACCAAAGTACAAAATAAAATGCGTACCACTTGTTTTTTTTTAACTATGAGATTAAAAACATCTTTATTAGTTAAAAGGTCAATAGTAGAGCACATCTTTTTTTGAAGCAAGTGTAAATTTCACCAAATAATTAAAATACAACATACAAAGAGTGCAWACACAAAATATTGAGTTAAGAGAGATGAATACAGTCTCAAGTACACTACAAGTTGAATTTCATCAGTCCCTCTTAGTAATAACAAAAATATTAGCGTCTTGTTTATTCCTCTATGTATGCTCTGAAATTAAATTGCACCATCATTAGGATTGCATAGTGTGTAAGAACTGTGATGTTGAAAAATAATGAGCAAGAATCAGAAGAAGCCCTTGCAGACTTCTCAGAGAAGAGATGGACTCTTTTTTTCATAATCCCTCCTTTTTTTTTTTTTTTTAGCTCTTTAGGTTTGCAAGATCTGTGATAATTTCAGAGATTTATTTTGACAAACATCCACATTAAAAGGGTCTCGTTCACAGATTGCATTATGGGACCACCTGGCCCATCCCTGTCGTGTGAGTTTAACTCCCTGAATGTCCAGTTTCATACCTGCTGATCTACTTGTGCCTCAAAATGACATGTCTTTCAAGCCATTTTCTTCTTGGCTGAGTCAACATTCTGCTGCAGCTGCAGGACACAATGTTAAAGCTAAGATGAACAAGTGCTATTGGACCTTTTTAAAGGTAGACTAAAACCTTATGTCAAGCTGTATTTGTCAAATAAATATTCAACACCCTTGAAGCAGTACAATTTTTTTTTTTAAATTGGGGTTCAGTATCTCACCTGCTGTAGATAGGTCTTGAATGACCTCAGTTTGAGAACTAGAATTTAATTCTGACCATGATTATGAATTAACCATTAGTCCAAGCAGGGACCAGATTAAACTGGATTGCTGTTGTCATGAAACAACTTCCAATCCCCACAAAAACAATAGAAGTTCATGCAACCACTGTTTAATAAACATTTATGTTGTTGGTTTCAGATTAGTTCTTTATAACAAATTCTATTTAATTTGTGCAATTAGTAAAGGCAACAACTAGCTGTCAAACTTCCAGTGGAGTTGTTTTGGGACCAATCCACTTTGGTCTGGGGTCCACTCTGATTAGCCTTTAGCTTGTTATTCCAGTCAGAATAAATTATTTCTCCAAACAAAGGGTGTCTGAACAGCCATCTACAACAGGTAAGATAATAATTATTCTTAACCTTTCCACAGAACCCCACTTAAAAAGAAATGAACTATCTTTTTAATGTCACATAAAATGGTGAGTTTTAGTCCACACAGTAAAATCTTCTTTACATCCTCCAGTGCAAAATGCATAAAGAAATGATTATTATTCTCGTTTATCTTTAATGGATAACATCCTCTACAAAACAGGTTTATGTTAGGGGTTCTTCACTGCAGAAAAATGGGCTATGACACATGTTGATTTGCTTCTGCTGACTACAATACATACATTAATGCTTCTGGAGTTCAAATTAATTATTTACAAAGTTGCACAAACACAGTCTGAACATGTGAGTGCTGAGAGGAAACAGACTAAACCCGTTAACGTTCCGTTATGTTGTACAAACTGAGAAGTTCATGCCTGTTTGGCAACATAAAGGCAATGGATATTAGATGAAAATGGACAGGTTTTTTTTTTTACAAAGTAACCTAGCAGCCTGCTACAGTGCCCATCCAGTGACACAATAACATAAGATCTCATGGTCATGACATAATTATCGTGTAGCCACACATTATTATCATGTGGCCATGGCATAATTATTGTGTGACCACGTGTTATTACCGCATGGTCACAGGATATTTTTTTTAATCCACTGTCACCAGATGGGCTCCGTAGCCTGCAAACAGTCATAACGTTGGTTTTAGTTTTCTCCACAGACAATTACAGGGAAATTTCCTGACTTTATCAGTGATAGCAGTAAACTCACAAAGTTCCTCCACTCAGATTCTTCAAACATCTGACATGCTCCCGTATCATCAGCTATAATGCCTCATTGTTATATTAAAATAGACTATTTTTGAAAAAAGTGCAATTTTTTTAACTATACCACTAACAATGTTTTAAAGTTATTTATCCTCACCCTCCCTCACAGCTAATACGCCACGCCAAAAGTACTTTTAACCAATAAATCGTATTTACAATCCTCTTTCTGCTACTAATATGGTCTCTGAGCTAAGTACTTCACCAGCTGAGAGATGTGAGTAAAGCGTTTGTACATTTATACAAATAAAAACATATATACAGCAACGTACAGTATCTAAAATACAAGGAGACACTCATTGTTACAGTACAGAATATGGCCTCTTTCCTCTTATTTTGATCCTTTTTTTAATATCTGTTAGAATTTACGTTATTAGTTCAAAGAATGAACAGCCATTGATAGCAAAAGTCAATAAAAGTTAAGAGAGGAATGTATGGCTGAAGTTTTGTAAGGCAGGAAAGATATCAGAGCAGGAAAATCTATTTGGCTTCAGTATGGGGGGGGGGGGGTAGTCTGGTTAAAACAGACGTCTGTTCTCATAGCTTGCCCTCTTATTTATCCATGCAGAGAAATGATGAGGAGTAAGAACATGCATTCGTGTAAAATTTGTATGTAAAAATATTTAAAGTTGATTTAATTTTAGATGCATTTCATGGACTCAAAAAAGAGATTTGTGTTAATTAATGACTGAGAAGACAGATTTTCACTAAGACATGACTATAGTATTTTTATATAAAAGTGACTGTTGTGTTTTTTTTCTCTTTCTCTCAAAAAAAAAAAAAAAAAAAAAAAAAAAAAAAAAACAGCGGAACATTACTTTTTTTTCCCTTTTGTAGCACGTTACCCCTGTCTCATTTGCAAAGTTTGATCATTGTATAAAAACACAGTGAATAACCCCAAATGTGGCAGATCTGGTCACAGACATGCAGTGGCCAAGAAATGCTGGTGTCACACAGGGCTGCGTGTCGGTGCATCATGCTTTTTTCCCCCGTTTCACACCCTCTGCCGAGCCACCGTGCTGCCGAAGACGGCGGATGATCGTGAAACAAACCCAAATCACCTCACATGTTGTAGGCAACATAGATGGGGTCGAGCTGGTCTGCGAGGAACGAGTCGCGAAGGTGCATACGTTGCTTCTCTCCTCTGGAGTTGATGGGTATGACGCCCGGGTCCACAATAACCACCACGCCCACAATGAGGTGGTGCTCCTCCAGGACCACGTTTGTGATCAGAGGCACCAGGTCCAGAGCATCCTGCTCTGAACCGCACAGCTCTGACACCACCACCAGCAGGTTAGTCCATGTAAACACAGCACTGAGAGGAACGAGAACAATAACAGGTCACTTTAGAGACAGACCCCTCTTTTAAAGTTGTAAAAAAAACTCATCAGATTGTTAAAACTGATATGACTAGGAACTGTCGTCTATATCTTTAGCTTGAAAGAGTTTATCTAATTCACACGTGTCAAACACAAGGCCCGTGGGCCACATCTGGCCCTCGTTATCATGTTATTCGCCCCATAAGGTAATATTTCAAATTTAAAATATTTTATGGTTTCTCTTGTTGTCACTGCGTTCTTATCATGACAGCTGGCCAACTTTCAAGCCAAGACAACTAAGTTTGAAATTTTCAGTAATCTTTGATTTTGGTGTGGAAAGAGCAACAGAAAATTGAGTTTAATAAATCTTTTTCTGTATTCTCTTCTTAGTTTTAAAATATTTGTATTTTTAGTGAAGGTATTCTTTTTTTTTATCTGATTTGCTGTATTGTGCAAAATTGTATCTATAAGATATAATAAACAAAAAGGTTTTTGATAGGGTGTAAGACATGAGATATCAGTTCTAATGATGTGTTTTCTCTAAATTTAATCTTTTACCTGCATCAAGTTATGTATGTTCTAAATGCTACATAAAACACAATTTGGAAAAGGTAAGTTGTATTTCTATAAGAATAATTTGTAACATACAATTTTTTAAATAAATATTGACAGAGTTTGGCCCTTGGCTTGGACCAAGTTTTGAATTTTGGTCCTCTCCTCTAACTGAGTTTGACACCCCTGATCTAACTCTACCTCAAATCAAAGATTGTATAATTTCTTTTTTTAATCCACTTTGGTCTTTGATAAAAGCAAAACCCTTTTTTTGGTCCAACAACTTCCACAAAGTTCCACTTATAGCATGCACTCTTTAGCAGCTAAAAAACCTGAGTCCTTCAAAGTCAAATTTGCTGTTAAAATTTACATTTTGAAAATTATGACATATTAAAGTAGATAATTATTAGTAGCATTCTCACCTCTCAGCAATACTTCGGTGTGCTCGTGACACTGATGTTTCAATGTCAATAGGGTGATACCGCAGCCCTCGTAGCTCCAGTGTCTCATCCAGTGAGCCCACCACAAACAGAGCATCATGCCGATCTGAGAGCAGATTTAAAGAGAAGATGAGCGATCCAGAGAAGGACTAAAGCAGTATTTGGTATATATAAGTGTTGATATTCTGTTTATTTAACAACTATCTCATCAACTCAAACTCTTTCTTTAATTTTGATTTAATAATCAGTATCAGATGTATATTTACCACCACTGGCGCCCAACAGCTCTGTCCTCTTCACAAAACCCAAGTATCCAGTTCTGGCCCACAAAGTGTGTGGATCTCCAAAGCTGAGCTTGGTGTTGAAGTGGTCGGCCTGAAGACTCTCCTCTCCGTAGATGGTGTAGTAACCACTGGCACTGTGAGGACTGTTCACCCAGATCTAAGACAGCAACACAAATGGTGCTAGTTTCACTTCAAACACCACCTCACCAGGGTTATGGGGTTCACCTTACATTTTATGACCAGAAAAAGCTAAATCACATTTCTCTTACCTCCCCCAGATGAGAATCACCAAGTGGACCTCTGGTCTCAGGATTTACAATTATCACCCTAACGCCTGGCAATATCTGAAAATGAAGGAAAAACTTCATGAGCTTGCTTTTCTAAACATCTTGCTCACTGTCTACACAACTGAAGTGGATCATGTCACCTTGCCAGACTCCATTAATGGAAGACTCTGAGGCGCTCCTCTTTCCACCAGTCTCACTCTGAAACACAACACATATTTCATGGAGACATGCTATCATTTCTAATTAATACTTGAGTTTGCAACGTCAGCAACATCTTGTGCCTTAAGCCTCCTGCGGTCCTCATATCCTGCATGCACCCCGTGTTCTCCGGGTCATAATGACCCAGCTTCACTAAACCCCCAATATGAAAAGCTTAACTGAATTTTAAACACTAAATCTATTTTGCCTAAAGTAACAACTTACCATTCACCACAAATTGAGTGAATGCCGGAATTTTCCCTCTTCACATAGCAGAAGGACGACATTTATCCAGGAGATACCGCTCGATTTGATGAGTTTATTTATTGTATAGGGAGTTGTTTTTTGTGTAGGGAGTGAGCAATGTTTGTATAGCATTCCTATAGACTAAAGTAAAAGAAATGTGCAACAAGTAGTTTTAATGTATTTTTATTTATCCCAATAAGTATTTATGTGCCAGTGAACAATAACAGCTGAAAAAAATGCACACTGGCAGTATGCCAGTATGTGTTTTACAGTCCTTCTTTKGAGGGCAGAACTGACACCTCTTCCTCTTACCTGCCCCAGCTGGGCCAGGAGCTGGGGAACTTGGATTCTCAGGTTGATCATTAAACCTCTGGACATCTTGCCCCTTTTCCACTAGTGCCACTGTAGTGTCGGTACGGTTCCAAGCCATTTCCATTAGGCCAGATTCATGGAACCCGCCCTTTTACTAGTTCCTACTTATTTGTGGTTCCAAGCGGTCCTAGTCGACACCAAAATGCGACGTCAGAACACCGGTCGTCACTGATTGGCTAGGAGGGTGGGGTCATTGGTTGTGTCTAAGCTACCTTTACAGCAACTCAAGGAGATTCTTAGATGGAACTAAAGCCATTTCACATCTTTGTGGTGTGTAACCGACTCTGTGATTGTGATTTCAATGCAATACAACTCTAAGATCAAAATGATCCGTAGACAAAATTAGTAACTTTTTTGTACATTTTACGTGGGAAAAAGAAAAAAGGCCCCATTTTACTTTTTCTAATGCTGGAATCAATCTAAAAAAAGTCCTCAAATTTCAAGTTGAAAAAATATTTAGTTTTTTTTCTGTTTTTAAACTCAGTTTTGGGTCATTATGAGCCAAAGGCAACATGAGGGAGGAAACACTAAAGCACAGACAGACGTCCGTCACACAAGATATACGTCACGGTCCACTTCAGCCAAGCCGAGATCTGCTCCACACGTCTTTTGGTTCCGTGCTGCTGGGTTCTTTTCTGAATGCGTACATGCGAGTGGGACCGGGCCAACTTCTCCTGTTATTTATGAATGAACTGAGGGAGCTTATTTTCAGACTGGTCTGTGTGGCGATTTCACAGACCTGTCTTGTGAAAGAGGCTTTAGTCATATGTTGGTTGTGATTTGTAAAGCTGTTAAATAATTTATTTAAAAAATGAATCAGAATCTGATAATTTTGTAAAAAGTGGAATACACTTAGTATATCTTAAAACTAACTCAGCTTTAATAAAATATAGAAAATTCTGTTTACCTGCATGAATACACACAGTCAAATTTAGAAACGACATTCGTAATATTCTGATGAATTACAGATGGATGTTATTTATATTAATTTCACACACGCACAAAAAAAGAGAAAGGGCTTTATTGTCTGAGGACAAGGCCTCAAACAAGGATTATCTGTGAATATAGTTCAACATTGTTGTCTTAAATGAAAGTAAAAATAAGAATCTTTAAGATTCCTATGCATTAGCACAATAAAATTTTGTTTGGTGTTTTCTGCTCATTATTTACAAAAATCCTGTAAAGTCTAAATAAATAGTTTATATTAAAAAAAGATGTATATATTTAACTCCTTGAAAATTAAAACATGTTGCCATCTTTATTTGGTTGGAGTAAATTTAAGATGGACTAAAACAAAAAAGATGCTTCTGTGGTCTAATGGTACATTTACTATGCATTTTTTGCATTCTTGAAGTTTTTTTTACCAGGATAATACAACTAGTTGTTACTTAGGGTGTGTACATTCTGCTAATGGCAGAAATAGGGTATTTTCCTTTTTTTTAAAACCCAGCTATAACTTTGCGTTTTTTTGTTTTGTGAAAGTCACTATTTGCAGAATTTTGTTTCAGCTTGTTGGAAATGTCACCTGTGCTCTCACCTGTCATGCCGCAGAGACTTCATGTCCACATACACTGTACACGGATCAGGACCAGTTGTGCCCTGTAACACAAAAATGTCCCATGGGTTTACAGGAATTGCGATAAGTTGGCGCGTTCGTGTAGCCAGATCCTGACGTCGTGCACACCTGCAGGCAGATAGCGAGGTTAACCCGGGAGCCAAAGGCGGTGCTGACAGCCCTGGAGGACAGTCCCACGTCCTTAAACAGCTTTGAGAAGGACTGCGTGAGAGCAAGGCGAGGTCGTTCCTCTGCTATCACCACGCAGCTCCGGACGCACGACAGATTCACACCGCGAGCCTGAAACACAGCGAGACACAACAATCGAATCCACGACTCTGTTACAGTTCCTGGCTGTCCGTGTGGATCTCTCACCCTGAGTAACTCGGTCTGGGTGCCCAGCCCTTTAGTGCAGAGCTCCATCACAGAGTAGGAGCAGAAGGTGTCCCTGATGCGGTACTGACTGAGCGTGCTCAGCCACAGAGACAAGCAGCTCTCCAGTTCAAACGGAGGAATCAGGAGGGACTGGTGACCTGAGTAAACACTGCCAGGCAGATAAAGAGAAAAAATGTGGGTAAATGAACAAGAAGACAGAAAAGACACCAGGTATAGAAAGTGACGGTTGACCGTACCTCGCCAGGCACCACAAGACAAAGCCCAGACCACAGTAGGGATCCATGCAGATGGCGATTTGACGAGAGGAGTAGAGCTCACACTGAAGCTTTATGGAGCGACAAAGAGCACTGACTGCTGCGTGAGAGATCTGACACAAGCAAATCCAAAAAATTATTATTATTATTATTTTGGATCCTATATATAAAAGTTTTATTAAAACCAACAATTCTTTTATAGCAAATCTGCTAATATTTTAATACAAATTACTGAACACTCATGTTTATTCACTTATACTGTATATCGAAGGTAAGAAAAACACTGTTCTCAACACCTGGTCTCACACCAAACTTCATCTCTCACAACTTTATTGCAACAACTTTTATATTCAGAACTGTGAAAACCCAACACTTTCCTGAGACGGTGAGAAACTTGTGTAAAAGCGACGTGCTTCACCTTGACGCCAGTGAGCATGCCTGTGGTGGAAACGCTGAAGTCCAGATAAGCTATCATCTCTGCTGTGGGCGGCTTGTAGATGTGTGGGGGCCGGCGGCGGGGAAGGTCATCTGTAAACAAGAAAGATGCAGGTTTTACATGGATCCAAGTCAACAGGAAAGTGCACTGAGCAAATATGATGCAGCAGAGATGAAATAGCAGATGCATTCAGTATAAGAGGGTATGCCAATTCCATGTAAATATATCTATCTACGGTACACAGGAAAAATTGATGACTAATTTAAACAAGAACATCTGCACACATATCTAACAGTGTATATCAAAAATGTTGATGAGAAATGTACTTTCTATTTGACTAAATGTTCCGAAACTACTAAAGCAGCATGAACATGTCTGACTTGACCACAAACCTGAACTTTAAAAGCCAAACTGACACCAAATCAGACACATTTACTCAGTTGTACAACTGTAAATGTCCTACATCTGGAGAATTTAAGGTTAGAATACACTGAAGTTGAGCAATGTCAACTTTAATGCATTCCTTCTTTCTTTTAATTACTTTAGGAAAAGCTGTGTTGACAAACTGTAACAACACAGTTTCAACACAAGGTGGTGATTGGCTGATTCGCTTTATTACCCGTATCAATGATTGTCGGCCATGTTTTGATGTTGACGGAAGCTGCGGCCTCTTTGGAGCGCAGAGYCCTCATGAGGTTTTGTGTTGTGAGGATGCACGCCGCTTTACTGACCTGTCAACAAAACACAATTATTTAAAACGAATACGAAGAAGCTTCAACAAAAAATAAAAAATAAATAAATAAAAATACTTGAACATGTGACACACTCACACACCCCAACATTCAACACATTTACTCTTCTTGATACTGAGATTTGGAGGTAATTTGTTTTAGGTATGATGCTTTGTTGATGTGAACTGGATGAGCCCTCAGCAGGTTAGTTAGTTAGTTAGTTATTAGTTGGATTTTTTTTAAAGTTTTTTAGTTAGTGGAAAGGCTATGAATAAATAATATCTTACCTGTTGTAGATAGCTCATTTTAAAAGTAAGAAAATAGTTTATTGTGTCTGCACTGATGAGCTAACGGCTAATGTAAGTACACATCAGTTTGCATGGATGTTATTTTATAAACCTTTGCATTACTGTCAGTTTTGAATTACAAGACTATTTACATAGCTTCTTAAAGTTGTTTGCAAGCACAATTACCAGCAGCAGCAGCTAGTTGTGGCACTTTCAGTGCAGCCTAGGACACATTTTTTATTTATTTATTTATTTAAATAACTTTATTCATTTTTAAAATAACAAAATGAATTTATATAAAATCAAAATACAAATCACAAATAAAATGAAAGGTGGCAGAAACAAGAAAAAAATCTTACAGTATCTGCGCCTTTTTCCTCCCAAAATTTATATTTTTAAACAATAATCTATAAACAAAAAAAAAACTAAACAAAAACAACCTCAAATCCTTGTCGAACAACTCGTTTGGATACACATTATATTGTTTCATATTTCTTTAACAAAGTGACTTTTATAATTCTCTTAAACATTTTACAGGAATATTATGATCTGTTTGCTCAAATATCCATGATGACAAATAAAGATTTATAAAATATAATTTTTGTTTTATTATCATTCCACAGAATGATCACAGAATCTCTTTAATAAACGAACCTCAATGAGGAAACTGAGTTAAAACACAGCAACAAATAACATAAGGTTACCAAATGTCCCCAGGTTGTTGATTTTTAATATCTTGGCATAAATGTGATGCCTGAATAAAAAAATGCTCCTAAGATCTACAGACAATTCTATGGTTATGTTCACTAAACATAAAAGTGCACATACATCAATAATCATGCGGACTGTCGGCAGAGTGGCTGCCAGGTTTTGAGGGTGAGGAGGCCTGACGTTTACTGGAACACAGCCAGCGTAGAGACAGCCGTAGAAGGCTGCAATCAAATCGATGCCTGAAAAAAACAAAAACGTGACGGATAAAACAGCGTTGTATAAAAACGCAAAAAGGCAAAAACGCTACAGATCAAACACAAACATTATTTGAGCGTGACGTTTGAACATAAAGGTCGGAGCCAGAACCTACCAGGTGGATAGAGCAGCACGACGTTCTCCCCGGTGTTGATGCTGCCCTTCTCCATGAGCGCGGCGGCGATCTTCTCAGCTCGCTTGTGAAGCTGAACACAGGTGGCTGTGCCGACCGTTACACCCTGACGAACAAGACAGAACATTGGACAAAGAGCGCAAAACACAACAACACAGCCGCATCGAGTGTCTCCCAACTAACAGTGATTTTAAATGTGGTGTACAAAAAGATCAGATTGGCACCTTTGCGTTAAGAAGAACGTAAAGCACGTGGTCGGGGTCTGTCTGGGCCCTCCACTGTAAAGCTTCTGTCAAATACTGATGCTGTAACCAAATGAGAAAAGTTATAAAGAAAACATTCACACAAACATGACCATGAAGGGCAAATTCAGGAAGAGCTTTTGTGCTGATGAAAGGAACAATAAACAGAGACTTTAAGTGGTGTTTAGGGACTGCATACCTCAGTAGAAATCATTACTCGCCAATGTGCAGTTTATACCACTCACTTTCAAGGCAATCAAGCTTTTAAGAAATGGATGTGAAACGTAAAAAATATATATCTGCTGTAAAACAAGTGAGAACCACAGACGGGTGCATATTTTGTACAACAAACATGCAAATTCCTGCTGAAGCCAGAAATTAACACCAGTACATAAAATAAAGCCACAATACAGCACAGGTGGGCCAATAATAATAATGCATGGTGTGGGGTACATGCCAGAGTGAATTCTTACCATCACAGTGGGCCACATACAGAGCTACATCCAGAGAGAGTCGAGAGCAAAGAGAAAGAAGAATCCAGATTTTTGTTTTCTACAAAACTGACTTCTGCCTGAGCTCCCATCACCATCCAAACCTCAAGATTTATCTTTCATACACGTTAAAAGATGAATCAATCACACGCACGTGACTCCTGCAGCTTCTGGACGAGCCGCTGTTAATGTTTGATCTGATTTAAAGTTTGCGGTCGGTTGAAAATGTGAGTTCAAGTCCCGTCGCAGTCAAGTTACCTTCCGGACGAGATCCTGGTCTTCAATCATGCCAAGGTCCCTGCCGGCCGCCTGGGCAATCCGCTTCCCCGCCACCAGGTTTCCCACCATGACGGACGCAGGGCCGACGCCAACTACAGCGGGAAAGCAGAGAGAACGAGAAAAGAGTGAAGTGGAGGAGGAGATTTAAAAAAATGTTCTTCACCACAAAACACAATCCGCAAATATACTTATGTAGGAAAAAAACACGACTTTCACTTTTACTTCAGAGTAATATAAAATGATAAACCAGAGCAATACAGAAGCTACAAAACATGATGGAGGAAGGATGGAAATTCAGAAATATTCAGAATTTCTGTGATTTTGGTTGTAGAAAAAGGAAAAGAAGTGACTAGGTGGCAAAATTTAAAATAAAAATTTCAATTTCCCAACATTATAAACGTTTGGATTTTAAAGACACATTTGTTCAACCAAGATAAAACAAAGAATTTGTCTCTGTTTCCTGCATTCAGTGGAACAACAGTAAATCCACGCTAAAAAGCGAAACAATGTATTTTCTGGAATAATATTCACTAATTTATAACTTTATCATCCCTATTTCTCCTAAACATTTGGGCATTTTTGCTTATAAATGTACTAATTTAAAGTTCAGGGACTTTTTGTAATGTTACTTCCTGTCATGAAACAATCCTAAACAAAATTACTGCGTTCCTTCTTTATATAAATATTTACCTGTTTAGCCCAATAAGGAAACATGTAAAAGAATAAGACTTCTTAGAAAGCCTGGCGCTAGCAGAATATCAGGTACAATCCGTGGCGTCCTGTCAGATTTGCGGTGGACAGAACGTACCTGGCTGCTTCTGGCGAGGTTTGGGCAGGTTGGTGACACACGTGTGGGGACACATCAGGATGTTGCAGGGGTGCAGGTTGCCATCTAAGAAGAACTGCTTGGTGTCAGAGATGTGGATGCCACCCAGGGGGGTTTTGGGTAAGGTGTTGGCCGGGACCAGAGCCAGACAGTAGAGGCCCACTTGGTGGATGCTGTCGATAGCCTTCAGAGGAAACCAGACGACAGGGTCAGCAACGAGGACATGAAAAGAGTTGTTTTTGTTTTACTCCAACATTTTGCTCAGGTAGTACTGATGTAAATAGAAAACCTGTATTAGAGTAAACATTTGAAAGTGGATTTACCTGAAGCACTCGGCTCATCCACTGGAAGCTGTCCTCCTCGCTGGCGTCTGGCCTCTGCTCTGCCACGATTACAACCCTCTCATCGTAGAACACTGTGACCGAAAACACTGCAATCCTGCAGACAAACACAGAAACACAAAAATACTGAGGATTTTTCAGAGGTCAGGGAGGTAAACACAAACAACTCAACATCTCATTGTCAAGCAGCTTTTTTTTTCTCCTCCTGTACCACTAGATGTCAGTACAATAAATAAAGTTCTGTGTTTCACCAATCAGTTTTATTTTATTCGTTTTACGCACAATGTCGAATTTCTCCTCACCTTCCACGGTACACTGTCTTAACAGGCTCCACCGCGAGAGCAGTGGCCACCAGATCGTCCGCGTTGTGTCTTCGCCCACTAACCATCAGCAAACCTTCTATCTTCCCCACCACAAAGATCAGACTGCCCTGTGCGGGGGAGGGGAGGGGGACGACACACAGCTGAGCGATTTCACTGTCAGACAGGAACGCTCCCACTCTCTAATCAAACATTTGTACTTACTGGACCAACAAAGCCCAGGAGTCCCGACCGCACAAATGGAATCTCTCCAATGGGAACTCCATTAGCATTGACGGGTATCACCTGAACACAACAACACAAAGACAGGAACCCGTTCCATAAAAACAACAGGAACTGTCGGGACACGTGCTGTAAGATGCTGGCTCATTTCGACTTTCATACCTCAAAGGTGTTTTTGGTGAGTCCAGGTAAGCCGTAGTACATTGTGCCCCCAGCACGAGAATTAATTATTATCTCTCCTATCTCATCAGTTTTACACAACTGAGGAGGTCCGTCTGGCCTGACTATACACATCAGCGCTGAAAGGACAAAACAGAAACATTAGAAAAAAAACAGGATGACTAGTTGGAAAAATTCAAGTCCTACTGAGTTTCAAAGTCATAAACCTTCATGTGGTAAATTTTCATGGGTATAATTGTCTTTGAAACAGTAGGCTGCAGAAAGACAAACTGACACAGAGGAAAAAATAGCCCACGAGTACATTCAGACTACAGACTTTTTTGTCTGTTTTCTAATTTAACTAAGCTTTTACAGCACTTTGGTCTACAACATCTGTTTAAAAATGTAGACACACACACACACACACACACACACACACACACACACACACACACACACACACACACACACACACACACGTGCGCACGCGCGTGCGTGTGTGTGTGTGTAATAAATAACATATATATTATATGTAAAATATATACAAGCTTTGACCTTTTCTATTTGTAAGTAATCTTGACTCACTACAGCTGGTATCTTTTCTGAGCAATCACTAAAAGTGTTTATTTGACAGAGCAGGCAGGCACACGGGGCAATATTGAAGTGCACAATGAAAAAAAAAAACTTCACTTTAGTTTCAAGTTAAAACACTCTCAGTGTGTGGTCTACATGACCTTACAGGGAATGTAGCCAAACACAGGACAGTTACAGGACTGTTATACATCAACAACACTCAGTTTAAGCCCAGTTGTTTGCTGTGTTCACCTCAGCTTGTAATGCATTATTTGGTATTGTGTAGTAGTAAAAACTACCTACCTAAAATAATTTTATTTTAATTACTCCAACACACATCTTGATAAGTATAGGTTCTCATAGAGGGCTTCATTTTGATTTTTAGTCGTCTTCAAAACCATTTCTTGAACATTTTAAAGTTCTTCTTTGGACGTTTTGGTTGATTTTCATGCTGAGAAAAAAAAGCTGCTTTCCAAATGATGTTAGATGTTGGATTAAAAATCCCACCAAATCTGACGACACCAGCAACACTAGTGACTGAAACACAGCTCAAACCAGGACAGAACCTCTAACAGGTTTTATCAATAAGTGTAAAAACTGCTTTAATATACTATATGATGAGAAATGCCAAGTTTTTGAAAAATAATTAAAAAATGACTTAAAAATAATAAAACTACGCCAGCTCTAAAAGCAAGAGAGCAAAAGCAAAACAGTAAAATGTCAAGAATTGTGATAATTATTTCACTGGTTTGATATAACTAAAGTATTTTTGTTTTAGAAATAATGAGAAGTTGAATCATTTTTGTCAGTGGAAAAAACATAATTAAAACAGGTATGTATTTTGGTTGTAACTACAAGATTATTTTTCTACAAGTGAAGTATTTATTTTGCTATAAATTATCCAGATAATTTCTTTTTTTTTTTGGTAATAACTAGTTTTTGCTAACACTTATAGCTTCTGAGCTTTCATTTTCATGCTTGGATTTTATTTAATCCCTCTGACATTTGTTTTTTTTTTCATGCTTTTCTCTAGACTTCTGCATTTTTCCTTCCATCCTCACCTCCAGGCATGACGTGTCCCACATCTTGTACAGTCAGAGCCGAGTTCTTGTCTTCTGTATTGACCCTGATGACACCGTGGCTAAGGCCGCTCAAGGAGAGGATGGCGCGGGCAGGGAGGGGTGCGCCAGGGACTCCCGGTCTGCATGGGGAGACAGTTTGATAAAACCTGTGCGTTCACATCCATTACATCAGTTCATACATACAGCTGCACCAGGAGAACTGGGATTCTGTTAGCTTTAAAGGGGACCTGTTATGCAAAATTCACTTTTTCACATATTTTTATGCTTTAGTTTGGGTCTGAACTGCTTCCAGAAACAGTCCAAGTGCCAAAAAAAATACTCCCACCTATTTTTTGACAAAATGTAAATGGTTTGTTAGTGTCAGCAAATGAGCTGTTTCAAAAATCTGCAAATTGTTACGTCACAATCAGAGTAACCTAGGAATGCCAAGGCGAGCTCAGCCAATCACCTGGTAACCCAAGAGACTCCGCCCACTTCTTCACAGGACGACCACGTTTGTTCTGCTGTTTTTACAACAGCCATGGAGAACAGAGATGTATGGCTTAATTAAATTTTTTTTATTGCAATGTTGCAGCAATATTGCCAAAGAAAGCTGTAGTTTGTGCAAATAATTTCACAAATTACTCCTTCTACCAACACACAGCAGGATTTACCCAAGGACTTTAAGCTGAAGGAAAGTTCTGTCCTAACTCTTCCTCACAAATCTCCAGATGATGGCGGTAAGTGATGTGTTGAGTGTTTAATGTTGCTGTTCCGTATGAATATAATTTGTCATTTAACACAAATTACTGTTGAACGCGCTGCCATGATCGACAACTGAGGAGGCGAGCATCTTTGCCTTTCCCCCTCCACAATAGCGGCCTGGGGAGGTGGCTTCACTATGCCGGCCTCCACAAGTTGCGACAGACGCCTGTTGGCCTCCCTGAGCACCAGTGTGTCGTTACGTGTGCAAAATTCTTTGATCGGATTGAAATGTATTCGGATTAAATAATCGGAATGTATCGTTTACATGGACACAATCCGATCATGACGAGTGTTTACATGCACCAGGCTTTTATTCAGAATTGAAGCACTGACATGCGCAGTTGCTAACTTTACCTTAAAAAACAAAAAAACAGAAAAAAGTTCTACTTTCGTCATGAACATAAAAAAACAGCTTCTGAGTGCTCAGAATGGACCTGCGACAGGTTTTAATAATGGTGGAGACGTTACTGCACTCTCTGGTTCAGATGCAGGTGACACGCAAACTTTAGTTTTTTTTTTTCAAAGCGGCGCAGGCCATGTGTCTTCCTTCTTTACTGAATGAGAAAACAGAAGGAAAAGTTCTGTGCTGCTGGAAACTACAACGTTGCTGTCCCTCCCTCCACAAAAGAGCAGAAACCGCTGGATGAAAGTCAGCAGACATGAGCAGTCAGGTCAGTTTTCCACAATCAGAATAAGATGATTAGATTAAGTGTTTACATGCAAGTCATTTGGATTATCAGTCGGCATAAACCACCTCTTTCATTCCGATTACAAATTCATTCGGATCGAGCTGAATTGGGTCAGAATAATCTGAATGGGGTGTTTACATTAGGGTTGTGCAATACTGGCAAACAAAATTAATCACGGTTAATTGTGATATTTAGCCGATAACGATTAATATGACGATCAATCACCTGGAGTCCCTGGACGCCCTCATACCCTAGTCATATGACCAGTTTAAATCATTCTAGTGGGAAAGATTTTCTCTCCATAAAAATCTGTTACAAACTGTGTCAAAAGTACAGACTTCAGGCTATACATCAATTTTTAACTTGTGTTAATAGACCAAGTAAAACCAGAGTTATGATAAATAAATTACAGAACCTTTTTTTTTTATGTTCGGCATATTTGAAGCGGAGAGGAGCACCAAGTGGACTGACCGAGGAAATCTCCAGTCTGCCTGGTGTCATTAATCGTATTAATCGTCAAGTGACAAAAAATAATCGATTATAGTTTTTCCGACGAATGATTGCACACAATACGATTTTGCCCAACCCTAGTTTACATGACGCCATTTAATCTGATTACTTATGTCCATATAAACATGACTAATGTCAACCAATACGACAGGAAGAATTGTGCTGGAGGACTGGAGACTCCCGTGCCACAGTGCTCATCTCATGACATGGGAGAGGATTTTGACCGCCCTTCGGTTCGTCTTTGCTGGCTTTGGGAAGTGGTGACAGAAGTGTGTTGGCCTCCTCGACACCAAGGCGTCTAACTTCAATCAGACGCTCCAGTCTGTCCCTATCAAGCCCTGGGGTGGCCGCACTGCATGCAGCCCATTTACTACTGTTGTACCATTGTGCATCTGCTTATACTAACCATTTCCACATATCTGAAGTGCTAACAGAAAAGCTGTGCTGGGACGGCGGGGCTAATGTAAAAAAGTGGTTGGGAGGCAGCTTATTTGCATAAGCAGCTCATTCTGAAGAGAGCTCAGAACAGGCAGAACTGAAAAGGTGAAATCTCACTATCTGAGATTCATTTTGTGAATTAAATCATATGAACACGTTTTGAATAGCTCACAGATGTATCCTAACTTGTTCAAGGACCCCATAATAGGTCCTCTTTAAGAAGAGTGCATACTAAACTCTAACAGAGTTATGATGTTTTGTTGCTCGACTAGACTAGAGGAAGTTGATAAATCACACAAATTAAACCTTAACATTTACGTTAACTCTGTTACAGCTTCTTCTATCTGACACACTTTGTTTTAGCTCCTGTCTCTTTAAGATGGCCCTCCTCAAAGGCTAAATCTGCTCTGATTGGTTAAAACACTGGAGTACCGAACCAAGAAACATATTATATTGCACAACTCAGACATTATTATTTTTCACACCAGTGGAGACAAGTGAATTAGGAAGCATGTCTTATATGAGGAGAATGATCCCGTTTGGTGCAGAAGATAAATAAGCAGATATTGTGGATCAGACCTGGGTAAACTCAATAAAGAAGAAAACCTTTCAGGAAAAGAGGGACAGATACCTGCGTATAGCTACTGTCATGGCCTCAGGAGAGGCGGCACAGGGACAGATGACCTCAGGCTTCAAGCCGTGCGACTGAAACAGATTCAGGAAGGCATCGCAGGAAGAGACCGACCCTGGATGAAAGGAAAAAAGCTACACATTAATTTTTTTCTTCCATTTCATTTAATTTATTCATTTATTTCATTCATAAAAACAACAAAAAGGCCATTAAAACACAAAGTAAATCAATTATTGAATAAGAAAGGTGCAGAAAGAAGAAAAAACTTACATCTGCCCCTTTGTTATTTACTAATTAAAAAAACAACTTCAAACAAACAACTTAAACTCAATGTGCTAAACCTAAAATGAACAAAAGACGAGCTTCACAAAGTACTCACAAGGGTTAGCACCATCAGCAACAACAAGCATCCGTAGAGAAGCTAGGCTGACGTCTCTCTGGTCCCGGTGAGCCATCATGGCCCAGTGCAGATCACGACACTTCACCAAAGCTATACGAGCTGCACCACAGTGAAAAGGAAGTCATGACACAAACCTTTGATGTAACAGAACTCCAGCTAGAAGACTGGTGACAGGTTACCTTTATGGATGTGGACCCTCTGCACCCAGGAGAGGGGACAAGCTTTCATTACTGCGTAGGGAACACTTATCGTATGTATCCTGTTCATTACAGCCTGGGGTGGCAAAAACAAAAGTTATTTCTGTTTTTCCAACATTGTAGCAACACACTCTCTAGTATAAAATGTTTGTCAAAAAATCGTGTTTATTTGAACTTTTAATCTTTTTACGGACATTTGCTAACATCTTGTAAAAAACATAATGTATTATGGTCTTATAGAAAAAAACTGTCTTTCTTTAAGAAGCTTGAATTCACCAGCAGAGGTTAAAACACCCACCGTGAGAACTCCATGCCATAAGCCCATATCCTTTTTAAAGTCCAGGACGTTCACTAAGGTTTCCCCTGAAAATAAAACAATGAAAATCAATGTGACTTATGTTGTTTTAAATGAAAAAGCTAATCAAATAATGAGACAAAGCAGCTTTACTCACCCTCACAGTAGTTGCAGGCCTGGGTCAGAGCCTGGCAGTGGGTCAGCATGGCCACCTTAGACACAGCCACACCCACAACTGTGCCCTCTTTATTGGCTTTGTACTGCAAAGAGAGGGAATGTTACTATTTATGATAGATTAATTAGTAGTAATGCGTCAGTTAACAGCTCACGTCACAGTAATAGCAGGAAGTGTTACCTCTATATAAGCAGGATCAGTGTTAGCGGTGGGAATGTGTGGCTGCCAGTCTTTGGACGGCTTCGTCAGGTATTTTGAGTCTGTTATCACCCACTTCATTCGAGGCCAGCCTAACAGAGCCAGTAAGGAAAGTAAAGAGAAACATTTTTAAAAAATGCATATGTTTTAGTAAAACTAATCTCTGACCTGTCACAACAAACTGAGGATAAAGTTGCAAACTGTGATGATCTTATATATCTGTATTTAAGATTCAAGATTTCAAAATGTAGCCTAAAAAGCCAGAAATCTGAAAATGTGTTTAGCTTAGTTTGACCAAATATGACCTCATCTCTGATTTAGCATGATGGGTCACACATTTTAGCCGTATGAAAGCGTTCAAAACAAGGTTGCTCCTAAAAAGCCACAAACACATCCACATTCAGAAAGAAGTCCAACCTTTAAACTGCAGTATTTCACCGGTGGGGGTCTTGGGCAGACCTTTTAGGCAGATCTCACTGGTCAGAGCCAGACCCACACCACAGCTGCCCAGCAAGAAGCCCACCTGGCTGATCCCTGCATCCTAAATATAAACACACAGGGAAAAGAACCGAGCTCAGATTTGAAAGGTCCTGTGGGGGGGTGGGGGTTCTGTACACAGGCTTCTGCGATGGTCTCCATACCTTCCGAGACAGTGGGACCTCAATAGGTACAGGTATGACCTCAGCCAGGAGGCAGCCGTAGAAGGCCACCCAGAACATGCCGGGGTCACTGTTTGGGTACACCAGCGCCACCTACCAAGACAGTTATATTCTGCTTTGAAATAAGCTCCGGTGAATTTATATCAAGGATGATAACATCTACTGAGAGCTGCTAAGTGTAATGCACACGTGATTTGTTAAGAACATAATATTTCAAATAATTTCTCATAAACTAACAATGAGACGACGTGAAGTTGGTCTTTTGCTTCCAAGTCCATTGCTTTCAACTGATTTTTTGCTTGTAATAATCATTTATTTACAAATTTAGACATAAGCATTGTTTTGTTTTAAATTAAATCTTTTTTAGTTTAGTGTTTAAATTAAAGTTTTTATTACTAAGTTGAGTGATATACTTTTACGCTGTTCTCCTGTTGGTGAAACTAAAACACAGGTTTTGCCTTTCAAATTCGATTAAAAGCAACAAAAATCAGTCAACTCATAAACTTATAAATTTGGGGGATAAAATGAACGACTACGGCACATTATTCCAGGAAATCCAGCTCAAACTTTTTGTGTTTCTCTGTGTGTCCGCTGCCTTACTCTGTCTCCAGGTTTGAGGATTTGCTCATTCTTGTTGCCCAGCTTGTTGAGAAGCGTGTAGGCCAGCTTCACACTGCGGCTCCACAGCTTCCCTAAAACACAACAGAAAATCCTCAACCTACAAAGTTCATGAGTTTTTCTGAAACACCACACGGTAGCACCTGACAGTTCTAGTCTCCTCAGCCACATTAAATCACTACTGGTGTCAGGATCTGTGTTTGTTGAGAGTTCTGAGAGTTTATTACGGTGATTTGTTTTCAAATTTCAGATTGTTTCTCTGTCATCATTCATTCCTGCCCTTCAGTCAGTCCTGCCCTGCCCACTCACCCCTGTTCTTTTATAATTAGTCTCACCTGTTGCCACTTGTCTCCTGAATCCCATTCCTTTATCCACTGAGCCCTCACTCGCCTGCAGCCTGTGTGCTTCCAAGCCCTGTCTGGTTCTCCTCTGGGTTTTCCTTCATCTTGTGTTTTCACATCAGCCTTTTAGTTTCTCGCATATTTTTTGTTATTAAACCCTCCTTTTACATCCTCTCTGTACAGTGAATACATAAATCACATGTCTCACCGTAAGTCAGTGTATAAAGAGGTTTGCCTGTGATGTCCAGAGCAGTGAGAGCCGGGCTCTTTCCCTGAGTGGCCCCCCAGCGAGCTAATGCCGCCTGCAGGGCTGGGGGCCAGTTACTGACGACGCCCAGAGGCTCCCCTTTCACCGGGATGATCTGGCGGCCCTCTGGCTTGGGCGTGTTGGGGTCCGGCTGGGGAACTGGAACAAATAGAGCAGGTATGTTTCTGGGTAAGTTTCAGATGAATGAAACTTAGAATGAAGAACATCAGTGTAAAAAAGATGCCCGTATGTAGCAACTTATTTACTGGACTTTGTTTCTGAAAAAAGGTCAAGATATAAAATAAAATAAATAAAATAAAGGCCTTTGTTTTAAATAAACATCAACTTATACTCTAATTCATTGGTTCCCAAACTTTTCAGCCTTTGGCCCTGAAAATACCAGCAGTGGAGACCTGAGCCCCCAACTGTTGTTGGATTATAAACATTGTTTTCACGTCAAAAAAAATAACAGCATAGTAACAATATCCATTATGTTATTTTTGTCCATTTTAAGTACACTAACCTTACTCTTTTGTAACAACAAAGGCAAAAAAAAATGTTAGTTGTTATTTTATAATGTAATTAAGTCAGAAAATCTTTTCAGGACCCCACCTTGATGTTTTGAGACCCCATTGTGGGTCCCGACCCCAACTCTGGGAACCACTGCTCTAACTTACATTATGCATAAAACTCAAACTGTGCAACTTTGCATTCATTAAAGGAAAATACTTTAGGTTTAAAGTTTGGTATAAACATATGTAAACAAAAACGTTTCCTCTTTCATCTAAGATTTCTGATTTACTGAAGAATACAAAACAGTTTCCATCTTTTTAATTGACTCGAGGATATTTGTTTTTGTGAGAGTTTCATGAGGCGCCGCACCTTGGACGATCTCCTCGGAGTCGTCGGTGAAGAACTCGCTGAGCGGMGGCCTCTTGGGCCTCTTCAGCGTGTTGAGCAGCTGCTGGATCTTTGTGGACACTCTGCTGCTCACAGGAACTCCTACAGAACAGCAGCAGGAAAACGGTTACACGTTTCCAGACTCAGCTACGTCAACAAGTGACCCGTTGAAATGTCACGACATTTTACTGTCTGCTGTTCTTCATTCCTGTCCAAACTTACTCAAATATTCTTTAATAATCAAACTTGAGGTGATTGTAAGATCATTTGGGAATAAAAAGCAGCAGCACAGGTAGGTGTCATCATCACAGGGAAAACGGTGAAAACTGAGAGGAAGGGTTTCTGGTTCGGGATCACACAGGAGGATTCAGAGTGTGGACGTTGTATTTCCTTCTACGTTCATTCATTACAAACAGGAGGGAGAAAAAAGGGTTCACCGTGAAAGAAAAGGAGAAGGCTGTGGACAAATAAAAGAGTTTCCTTACTCTGCGTATTACCTCTTCCTATCAGCCAGTCAAATATACATGACAGGGTGGAAAAGATCAAGAAGAAAAGAAAGCAGCAAAGTCTGATTAATTAAAAAAAAATCCACCGCTGGACGTCAACAAATATTAGGAGATGAAGAAATCAGACAAAAGCAAACACAAAGAAGCACAAACTAGAGTCTGAGAGACGTGGGGAGCAGCTGTTACCATCGGCGGTCTCCATCATGCTCGAACGGCTTTGCACTCGACTCATCCCTCGAACGACGGCGTTGGAGGGCAGATCCACCCGCGGGCCCCTCATTGTGGGGCCCACGGCTGTCACGTCAGGAGAGGGGGCGCTGTTCTCAGGTGGAGCTGTGGAGAAAACACGAGAACCAATCACAGCTTTAATGCCGAGTCAGGTTTTAGAGATCTGTTCTTCTTTTTCTAGATTATTTTATTCTGTGAAAAGTATGATGTCAAGCAGATCAATCAAAAACAAATTTTTAGAAACTGGATTTATTTATTGCTGTTATTTAAACAAAGGATACATCAGAGCGCAGTGGGAAAGTTTGTTTCAGGAAGTTCAAATTATAGTAACAAAAAATGTTGGGGTTTTCTGTAATGAGAGGTTGAACGAAGAATCATCCAACGCATTATTAAAACTGGAGGGGGGAGATGAGAGGAGGTTGAATCTGGATGTGAGGGGGGTCTCTGCTGATACCACTTGCCTGTTTCCTTACTTTCAAGGAGCACAAGTCCTACATAAAGGACTAGCGGTATTCCTCTGTTTCTTACAGGACTTACAGAAAGAGTGCAACACAGCATGCACAAATGTCAGAAAAGTGCGCCTCACCGATGCGAGTGTGAGCCAGCATGTCTGTGACGGCTGCGGTGCGGCTCGGCTCCTGAGGCTGATACAGAGGTTGGTACTGCGGCTTGTACTGAGGCTGCGGCTGGCTCTGAGGCTGAGGCTTGGCCTCCCCGTGCGACAGCGTGGACGAGGCAGAGGAGGACGTGGAGGAGCCCTGGGCGGAGCGGTTGATCCAACAGTCCGGGCTCTGCAAGCTGGTGTTGGCCGGAGGCGGGGGGGCGACCACTGAAGACTGTCTGCGTGCGGACGTCTCGTCTTCAGAACCTGATGACGAGTCTAGAAAAAAAAAAAAAAATCGAACCGATAATTTAAAAAACTCAGTTTCCTTTAGTGTTCGGATGCAAGACCCTTGTGTGTTTGGATCTTACCTGGAGGTGTCCGAGCTTCGATGGGCGACTGCACGTAAGTGGACCTCCTCTTGGTGGGCATAGGAAGTGCCATTTTCTCCTCTTTATGTTTAGCCAGGGCAGCTTGTACAGCCTCACTGTGAACATCTGCACAGAGTGAGGACAAAACACACACTTTGAGTCCAACAGCCAAGAATCTAATTAAAAAAAAACTAAAAAGTGAACACTGAAAATTATTTTAACTATTTAAAAGTACCTCACATTCAAGTATCATTTTCTTTATTTGCTGACTGATTTGTGAAAACTTTCATCATTAATGAACACTGGTTTGGTTAAAACAATCTGAGCTGATATGGCGAAAAAATCCTAAAAGCTTTGAATAGATGGTTCTCAAATGATGCAGCGACCTACAGATCACGTGATCAAATCACCATAATCACGGCTGCGAATGCAGAAGAGGGTATAGTCTATAGCACAGAAATGTATATACAGTCTAGATTATTTATGTAATATTGTATGTTTCTATTTTGATTTGTTTTAACAGTCATGGAGCAAATTTACGTTCCGAGTTAGTTACAAAACTGTGCTGCTCGTGTGGCAGAGAGACGCTTTAAAAAACATTGACGGCGTAAAAACACTAAGGAGACGTAGAACTGTCGGCAAAGCGACGTGATTTTGCGGCCGGTGATAATCAACCACAAAGATTTCACCCTCCTCGGGATTCCAGAGTGTGTTCAGATCATTCCTACCATGGTTAGTGACGCATGATACGTTAATTAATTTAAAAAAGAAGTAAAAGATCGCGCACTATGAACAGAAAAGTGTTTTGAATATGCAATCTACCCTTGTAAACACGACCGTAGGATACACTGACAGTATCCGATAATCACTAAAAGCTCCTTATTTTGCAGTATGTACCCATTTAGAGTATGTAAGATATAGTTACAAATAATATCAGAGAAAGTCACACAGAGTCATGTCAACACAGCCTGTGTGTTGGCTCTGCAGACTTCAGCAACTCGTAAGGATCGCTACTTTCAATAAAGCTAAATACCTTGATTTAGATTTATTATTCAGTAGATCCATGGGTGTCCTGAAAGGCACATTTTAAACACAAAGTATTTTTATCCTGGTCATGCTCGTCTGCGTCGTTCAGTGGCCTTTTTGCATTTTTTCTCCCTTGCTTTTGTGGTTCTCCCATACTGGTTTTATCGCTACATGCTAAATGCTAGCCCATGAATGGGGTGCAGAGGGTAAAAAAGTCCCGGATGATGACGTCGTTGAGAACCATCTATTGATTACATTTAAGGATTTGTACTCAGAAAACCCCTTTCATGACCTACGAACTACATTTAAAACCTATGAAGAGAAAGAAAAACATTTTTTTCCTTTCAAAGTCGCCAAGACTTAACAAAAAGTTTAAAAAGTGCAATTTATTCAAAATAAAAAGGCATTTAAGTGACCTATTTGTTCTTTTGTAGCACCTTTCTTGCACCAAAATGAGAATGTGGTTCAACGTTCAACTTGAAATGTCTTCATATAAAATGATTTTTTCAGTCTTTTTATGGCCGTTAGTAACTTGTGACTTAATTCTCTGGGGTCATATTGTACACCAGCTTTATCACTGTGCAGGATTTTGTTTAAAGCTTCAGATAAGTCCATGGAACCGTCCTCAGCAGAAGATGACATTGTTTTTCCTGGTAAAGCAGGAAGCCGCGATGAGGGAACAAAGCTGCCAACGAGCCCACTCACAGGCCTACACACAAACAAAAGGCACACGGCAATAAACATGCAGAGATGCTTTCACGTCACGACACCCACAGGCGTATTAAAGAGAACCATGTGACCCGGGACACACGCTCCGACCATGCAGCAAAACGTGCGCTGAAGAAAACACATTCTGTGTCTCCAGCGATGATTATTCTGCTCCAAACATGGAGAAATGAAAAAATAAAAATAAAAAATCACGGAGCGCAGCTCACTCCAAAGCAGCAGCATCAGGGATGATAATTACATAAGTGGAGCTCTGTTGAACACATCGCTGAGGGCTAAATCCTCCTCGCTCATAAAATGCCAAAGTCGTCGCTCACACAGGAGCATCAGGAGAGGCTGAGCTCTGACTCTAATAAGAACAGTGGAGTGTGTGGAGGTTTACTGAGCGTTTAGCTCCAATCAACACTGACACCAGTGGGCAGTGTGGGACCAGAGGGGGTTATACTGGGCTGGGTCATGCTTTTCTAAAAAACCCACATGTTTATTAAGAGATAACAGGCACAAGATGCTTCTGATGCTACTTTGTTTACACTCCTGCTCAGGCTCTGTGTGCATTCAAGTGAATGCTCACAATACGCTGACTGATTAAAGTTTTTGGATCCGACTTTTCATTTATAACAACAGCAGGTTACAAACATGGAAATAAATGATATAAAAGTCTTGGCAGGAAATAAAATATTTTCATAATTAAGTCTAGAAAACACCTTTAACTCCACAGTTGATAAGTTTATTCAACTCTAATGTCTCATATGCAAATCCCTTTATTAATCAAATCACATAGATGCTGTAATTGTTCAATGTTTGTGATGTACGAAAGCACTAATGATCTAAATTTAAGAGTTTAACAGAATTCTGTCCAACATAATGAACCTAATACAGTTCTGTTTGTATCCAAATGAAAACTTCACTTTAAAAAGATAAATAAATCCTTCTTGGTGATGCAGAGAAGAATATGAGTTTGTTTATTCAAGTTTCCAGGCAGATTTATCAGATTTCTTAGTGAAAATAAAAAGGAGTTCTGATTAAATGGAATGATTTTACTTCTAAATCTTTATAACTTTGTGTATTTCATGAATCAAACTTATCAAATGAAAAAAGTATTTGAATAACACTGTGTTGTGGTTAAATTTGACAACTAAAAACCAAAAATTGATCGGCGACGACATGCGACGCACTAAAAGTGTTTTGGAATGACAGTGAAATTATGGATTATTTTCTTGTTTTCTGAAAATGTGACGTCTTTTTGACATAAATTGTTTCAAAAATATTCAGCCCATCATCATTAAGACAAGTTTCTGCATTTTGGCATAAAATTTAGAAAAAAACATTATAAAAAATGGATACTCTTCAAAGGGATCCACAAATAGTTGTAACATAAATGTGTGTATATGCAATACACTGTTTTAGGCTTAAATCAGTACATTTAGAGCCAAACCTTTTTCAGTTTTACTGTTTTTATTTTTATTTCTGATGCTGTGGTGAAGCCACAATCACTTGATCGAATTAAACTTCATCTCTACGAGGGGTGCGTCAAAACTGATTCACATCAGAATCGTGGTTTTCATTTACAACGACTCAGAATCGATTTAAAATATCCTAAAACTGATTTGACAAAAAAAATAAAGCAAATTTTGTAACAACGTGGGGGCATCCTGATGTCACCACGCAGCTGGTTCTGGAATGTATGCATACACAGAAAGCACCAAAACAAAGAGGAAACTACAAAAATGGAGGTAAGAGATTCAACCGACCCTGTTTTCATCAAAGGCAAAGATTCGGACTCTTTTTGTTTTTTACTGAATGAGTCTGAGTTTGACACAAGCTTCACAAGGTTTGCAAAATGAAGATGAAGCACTTTGGGAACACGACAAACAGACTCACATTATCAGGTTTGAATGAAACATTGATTTTGAATCGAATTGTGGCTTTGAAAATCAGAATCGAATCGAATCATGAGCCAGTAAAAGATTCCCACACCTAAGCTCTACCCTGAATCCCTGTGAAACTGCAGCTTTTTTAGGCAACGGTTCAGTAATAAAGCAGAGTAAATTAGGCTGGCTTTATATTTAGCCTGCTGCAGTGTGAGGGTGTTTTACAGGAGAGCATCAACAGCAGGGTGATGATTGGAGAAAACATTTGAATTCCCGTGAACAAACACTGAAAAACAAAGTGTTTTTGGCTCGTTTACCTCAGTTCTAAAACTCTGGTCTGGTTTTCCTCTTCAGATTAGAGATAAACTGATTTCCTCTCAGCCTCACTGATAACCAGGCAGTGACGTCACTCTGTTGTCAGAGCGGGGGTCCTTACAGAGGGGCTACCCTGCTGCACCATTGCTCTCCATCTCAGAGGCCCTCCCAGTCACAAACACACTTCTAATAAACTCCTGCTTAATTGGTCCCATGGAGCCAGTTTCAAGTATGTGAACAACAAGTTGCTGTAGGCTCTTCAGGAGTGTTTCAGACTTGAAGGATGCATTTTGACTCATGATATCAGCAGCTTTTATTTTACCTGATCTGTAGCGGTCATCCCGGGTTCCTCCATTGCGATGTGTTCTACGGGAGCGACGTTCCCGATACCGGGACGAGCTGGCGAGGGGATGGGCCTGGCTGGAGGAACTGGGAGCTGGAGGCTGCACGTCATTCTTAGGGGGTGCCACTGTCAAAAACAAGAAAAATAAACTCTTAATCATGCTTTAATACAAAAGGTATTAGCCGTCATCGTAATGAGAATGTCATTACAGTAGTCATTTATGTGATGTAAGATTTTGTTTCAATATTGCTAGATGTCAAGAAGTGGGCAATTTTCTTTTTTATCTTGTGCAGTTGTAAAATTATTTTGATTCTCAGCAGTGGTTCCCAAACTTTTTATCTTCTGACCCACAAAATATCCATGGCAAAAACTTGTGACCCCAAATATTACTGGTACACGCACTTTGTTAATAACCCTAAAAACACAGGATTTTTGACAATCTAAACAGCTTGTACACAAATATAAATACTTATTTTTATATTTTTTGTGTTTTTGTAATAGTTATAAGGAAAATATTACATCAGCAATTATTTTATTACCCTTTAAATTGA